ATGGCTGTGCAAAAAGAGAAGCCTTTCTATCCGTGTGTGTTTACCAAAGTTCCTTTTTTCGATTTATTGTCACCCGTCAAATAATAAATAGCTTTAATCAGAGCTAAAGTATTTGATATAAAGTACTTATGAAGCTTGGGGTTTTCAGGAAAAGTTTTATATGTATTAATAGTACACAGAGCTCCAATTGTAGTAGACTGGAAGCGGATATAATTAATAATGTGACTATTGATGTTAATTAATATTATTATCCGACAAATTTCTTTGTGTTTATTTCCGGTGCTGGTGTAGGCTAAGGTAAAAGAGCGCTTATTAAAAGCGGTCGTTCACCTTCGTACTTACCCCCACATACATGTTTATATATAAAATCGATAACTGTATTAAGTATTAAGTGGGTAAAATTATTAATTTAATTACTTTCACATTATCTACTTATGTGGGTGAAACCACGGGTAAAGTCTAGTATTTAAAGAAGAGAGAAGAAGATATAATTTCATATTATGAGAAAACTTGAATTTCTGCAATATTAAACTCGTTTAATAAATAATTAAATCGACATATAAATGTAATTATAGTAAAAATGTTAAAATAATAAATAAAGTAAAAATAACTTAACAGGGATTTTCATTTACTATACATACCCAATCAGACATTTACAAAGTCTGTTGTTTTATTATTATAACCTAATAATTAATTATTGACTAATTATTGGTATAGTTTTCTTTCATTATCATTTTTCTCATAATAAATTCTCTCATACGAGTATCTTTTGACATGCTAAAGAACCCTGTCAAGGACGAACGTTTACTGCTTGTTTTACCAACATAGTATCGACTGTGGCGAATTTATAATTGCTTGAAAACTTTGTTACTGTTCGAGGCTACTATTAAATACAATTTGTAATAGAATGTTTGTTTACGAGGATTTGTATAACCGTTTTGTTTTTAATTGTTAAAAATACAATTATGTAAGAGACAAAGTTAACAATACAAAACTTAGACTTGACAATCGAAAAGTATTTATCATACTCATTCACAATCATCTACATTTAAAAATCATTACAGCCATCAAATTATTACTGATAGTATATACCCAAAGAGATTTATTACGTAATTTTAGCGCGAGCGAAGCCGCGGGTTCTGCTAGTATTTTATATTTTTTTATGTAATATTTATCTATATAAAACAAGTTGTTTTAATCATCTATATATTAATTTCTTTTATAGAAGAAACAGTCTAGTTTGTATAACTAACATAATAGTACTTACGTTATTAGTTAAAGTTGTTACCTGTACAATAGACAAAATGTACCACATTTTAATGTCCTTATTGTGGCACAAGATTTCTGAAGAGGCGCAATTTTAACCAAATCTATAGTTAAATTATATATAAATTTATGATCAAGCTTTTACTATATCGCAAACATTTTATGTAAGGCCCGCAGGTCATCTAGTCAATGTATTTACTGTACCATTTAATTTGTACTTTTATTTTTTATTTAGATCAAAAGTAATAATTATAATAATAATATTTTTAAACAAAAAACACTATTTACCTTAATCCAAAATGCATTAACTTGTAAGGTGGACACAGCATGCATTAATTTGTAAGCTATTTATAGAGTTTAGATACATAATTTTTTTTAACAAGAATTTTTTTAAACAATTTTAACAAGAAAAAATAATTAACTGTTAAAATTTTATGAGAATAAACAACGCTCTTTAATACTTTTTTAGATTTACGCGAATATTTGACAATTTAATTACAACTACCTTTTCGGATTATATCGCTGATTTATTTTGATTATTGGTTCCCGACGTTTCGAACGCTTTACAGCAATTATGGTCACGGAAAACTCTAAGGGTTTAAACGTCTTAAGAGCGTTATATACTTGTTAATGATAGTGCCTACCCACAATTTTACAAAACGATTTCAAAAAATCAAAAATGGCACCAAAGTATTATAATCAAATTAATCATATATAGCAATATTATTTTTTAATTTTAGCTGTTATTATTATAAATATACACAATCTCTTAAAATCTTTATTTATTCAATGTTGCTATTATTGTAATATTAAGAACCATAAAGAAAATTAAAAATATTAATTATTTATTTCAGCAATATTGTTTCATATGTAATGAAAAAAATTAATTGATTTAGACTGCTATTATGTATTTATTTAAAGTTAAAATATAAAGCAACACTATTGCTACATTTATTTATTAATTAAGATAGTTTTATTTAAAACACTCTTTCATTTAAAGTAAAAATAAAATAATATAAATACTTAATGAAATAAAAACAACGATACTGTCTTCAAAAACACTTTAACAGGTGGAATTTATTCTTAAAAATGTGGGACATTTGAGGTATCTGTAACTCATTCAGTAAAAAAATATTGTTTTGTCAGGTACTATCATATTCCTCGAAGGGTTCTAAACGACCCAACATTTTTGTGCTATATTTTGACTATTGTAGTTTTGTTGGGGTAAAATAAATTCAAATATTTATGTATCTACACTATTTAATTTATTATTTACGTACTTTGTATATGTATATAGTATCTATCTTTATATAACTATTTTATATAAGCGATAGCTTATATAAAATAGTTATTAGTAGATATTGCAGCCTCTAAATTGCCAAAGCATGTAACCGAAAACGTCCTATATCTATAATCTATATATAGTTACATATTTTACCCCTGTCTACTTGTCTAGTGGTGCACATGAGATACCTACTTTCCATAGCTATTACATGAGCAAGCACCAATAGGATGCGAATAAAATAGTTGTATGTCGTACGGGCCGGCGGATATATAATGATTAGCGTTTCATTTTGGTCTTCTTGTGTTTTTAATTGCAATTCTGTAGGAAACGAGGTGAAAGGGGATGGCGTTTTCATGAGAAACATTTTTTCCAGGTAATGCATTAAAAATAGGAAACCGGTGAGACCAATAGTAACTGATTATTATTATACTAGTGTTTTCCTTCGGCTCCGCCCGCATAGTACATTAATAACCAACATGTTATATAGGTACTAAAACCTTCTCCGAAACACGCTGCATCTTATGGTATGAGTTTTATTCCGATCAGTTTAGTAGTTAATGCAGTATAAGCGAACAAAAAAATCAGCTCTCCATTTATTAGTATAGATTATCGTTAATACTTACAAGGCTTGTTAATTTATGCATTTTTCAATTATGTACTTTTCTTGTTAAAACCTCATTGTAAAGGGCATGGCTTGCACTTTACTTATTTTAATTATAAAAATCGGAGCCACAATACCATTAACTATGGTACGCCTATTAAAGGACATTAGCTGAGATGCGTGAAGTTTGTGCGTGACTGTTATTCGTAAGGAGGTGTGGATTTGTTTTAGTGTCTACTGAGTAAATGTTTAATAGTCATACCTTGAGCTTTTGGATAAGAATTCACTGCTTTCATTTAGCCCATCCGTGAGATATAAGAACGTATACAGAAAAGAAAAATATAAAAAAAAACGAAACCGCTCATTATATATACTAGTAAAAATTAATTATAAACACCGACTTGGAAATGTTTTTCAACCGACTTATTCAAAAAGGAGGAGGTTCTCAATTCGCCCTTATTTTTTTTATGATTGTTACCTCAGAACTCCGTCATTTATAAACCGATTTGGACAATTTTTGTTTTGTTTGAAAGTGTATACTTCACAATTGGTCCCATTTAAATTTCAAAAATACCACCTCTAAGGGTGGAAAAATAGCTAATGATGAATTTAACCTACTTTTAATTGTCACATTGACTTGAAACTTTGCAAGTGTTTCTATTTCCGTTGATAGTACAGTGGTTCAGTATTGTTGACCTGATCTGATGGTAAGGCCAGAAGGTGGATAGGTGGAACTTTTTAACGACTAATAGTAGATACTTTGAGTTTGGGCTTATTTTGTTTGATTTGACAAGCCTAACACGTTAGAATTCTTACTTTGCTACTACTGTCTACACTAAAAAGGGAAAAATAAAAACTTTTTAACAAAAAAATAAAAAGCGACTTCAAACAAAATCGCTAAAAAGTAAAAAATAACTGATTGGTAGTTTTCATTTACTATACATACCTAATTAAATATTTTCGAAGTCGGGGTGCTTTGCTTTGTATGGGCTGGCATCGATTTCGAAAATATTTGATTAGGTATGTATTTAATAGGTAGATTTTAATTACTTAGCCAAAGCACACCGACTTGGAAAATATTTGATTAGGTATGTATAGTAAATGGAAACCACCAATCAGTTATTTTTTACTTTTTAATGCTTTCGTTTGAAGTCGGTTTTTATTTTTTTGTTAAAATGTTTTTATCTATTAATACAATAAGAGTCATATTTATTAGCCATCGTCATTTGTTGACAATATGACGTATAGGTATATGTGGAAATTATTTTAGTTAAAAAGTAATATTTTTCTACTATCCTACAAATAATATCCTTGTAATTATTTTCGTATTCGCTAGTTTCTAAATAAATGTTCAATGAATTCATTTCTAAAGCTTTTGCAAAAACTTCAACATTTGAAATTGATCCTCTTATTGCAAGATATCGCAGATAGATCATAGTACATATCTATTAAAATATAATAAATACTTGTATTTAAATACCATACTAAAGCAGTATGTAGCGCAACGGAGACATACAATACATAAATGATAACATTTCTTTGTCGCTCATAGTAATTGCTTACGATTACCTCACATTGCTCTACAAAGGCGAAAAGCGGAAACAGTAGTAAAAATACATTTTTTTAATGAATATATGATTTAATTTATTTAGAATAAACAAAAAGCATTGTAGTTTTATTAGCTCCTAAATCTAATAATTAAGGACTTAGAGCATGCCGCGCATGCGTGTTTACTTGTCCGGTGATATCGCGCGAAGCAAGTATTCACAGTCAACATCGGTCAATCAGTGTATCTGGATGCACTAGATGCAGCGAGCTGACGGGATTATGTTATTTATTTGTGTTCAGGAGGAAGGGCCGGACGAGCTGCGCTTGGACGAAGAGATGGAGCGAGTGGTGTGGAACGAGGGCGCCGCGCCGCCGCCGCGTCTGCCGGCCAGCAGCGAGCCCGTAAGAGACTCCGCTGCGCCCCCGCCGCCTTACTCTCAAGGTACCTGACAATTTAAACATATTATTATATAAACATCCATAAATAAAGTCACTCATTAATACTGCCATCATAATAAAGAAGGCCCTAACTAACAATTTGGTAAAAAAATACTTAAATACAGATTCGGAATCAGCAAAAAAGTGCTACTCGTACTTGATAGTCTTACTCATAAAGCTCTAAGTCTTATGAATCCAGAGATACCATAACTATTTTCATCATAAGTACGTATAAACTACTACTAAGTACTAAGACAACACTTCAAATATCTCCAAATCAACTTTGACGAAGTTGCGGCTTTCTTTTTTATGACGGCAGAATATTTTCAAAACTTATTAGATAACAATCTTAACTAAAGTAAAATTACTAAATTTATATTTTTCAAAAATTTCTAAGTTTTATCTATTATTTAGTATTTACCTGTTAGAGTTAAAGTAAATTTTAAAGCTGTAAATAATTAAACAGATTTTAACACTCTCTCAATAAATCACGTACCCAGAAAAATATGTTTAAATATTTAACTATTTTGTAGTTTTTTGATAAGTCATACATATTAAACTTTTATAAACCCATGACCTGAAAACGACCTATTTGTGTTTACTAATAATTAATTTACACATTCAACATGTGTATACATCCCTTTTTAACGTTCCACTGCTGGGCATGGGCCTCCCTTCAGTACGAGGGGGATCAGGCCATAGTCCACCACGCTGGGCAAGTGCGGGTTGGCGGACTTCACGTATCTTTTAAAAACTTGCTAGGTTCTCTCAGACTTGCAGGTTTCTTCAGGATGTTTTCCTTCACCGTTAAGACGAGTGGTAATCATGTTGGAAATGAATCGCACATGAAAACATCAGAGGTGCAAGACCCGGGATTTGATTGATACATTTATGTGCGTGCCCTAATAAAATAATTTATTATAATATAGAGTAAGGTAGTGGTAGCCCAGTGGTAACACGCTCACTTGGGAAACCGAGTGAAGCGAGTTCAAATCCCGGGTCTCGCACCTCTGATATTTTCATGTGCGAATCATTTCCAACATTATTACCATTTGTCTTAATGGTGAAGATAACATCGTGAGGAAACCTGCATGTCTGAGAGAACCTATCAAGTTTTCAAAGAGACATGTGAAGTCCTCCCACCCGCACTTGGCCAGCGAGGTGGACTGTGGCCTGATCCCCCTCGTACTGAAGGGAGGCCCGTGCCCAGCCCATTTTTTGGAAAATCTTATTGAAATAAACATTATTATCGATACACAGGCCGAATCTATAGTTTTTAGAATTTTTGTTTGTCTGTCTGTCTGTTACCGCATCACAGAAAAACCACTGGAGGGATTTTGATGAAATTAGGTTTGGTGATAGCTGGTTATCCGGGTCAACATGTAGGATACTTTCTACCGCGGGAAAATTTCTCATTTCTGAGAAAAAATACTAAAACTGCAATGTAAGAGTATACTACTCGTAATATAAAAGACCTAAGAATTTGGTTTTTGGTCATCTGAACGCGGGCGGAGCCGCAAGCAATGCTAGTCTATACATATAATAAAATTGTAACTAAGCCGAATCTGTTCATTAAATATTTTTGGAAAATCATATTGAAATAGTCATTATTATCGATACAGAGGTCGAATATATAGTTTTTAGAATTTTTGACTATCTGTCTCTCTGTCTGTATGTCTATCTGTCTGTCTGTCTGTTACCGCATCATGGAAAAAACAACTGGAGGGATTTTGATGTGGTATGATAATAGCTGGTTATCCGGATCAACATATAGGATACTTTTTACTGCTGGAAAATATCATATCTTTCAGAAATCTATACTAAGCGTTAAAACTTAAATAATGACGAAACCGAGCGGAGCGAGGGTGAGTCGCTAGTCATAAATAATTTATATTCTACAACGACCAATCTCCTTTTTGTCTTCTCCATTTAACATGACATTGGCGAAGTAATCTATGCTCATTAGCACGTGTTGAAAACATAAACTAGAAAATTGAATTGAATTATATATTTAATCTTCAGTGCTTACTTTAATAATACATACATCCAGTTTCAATAGTTTCTTCATACTAGTTAATATAATTATATACAAAAAATAGATATCCGATACCTCTTGGGATGTGTTCGAATGACCTTTTGCGATATTTTACTGTTTCGAAACAAAATCATTTTGTTTTACCTAAATAATTAATAATAATCTTGTAAGTTATCTCTCAGTGCCTTACTTTGCTTGAGTTAGCAAACAGTTAAATAGTACATGATTCCTGATGTAAATTTACGAGATTATTGCTCAATATCTAGCGTTACATAAATGTTCGTCTAAAGAATATTTGATAAAATTGTGCTTACTGAATTACATTTTATAAAATAGAGATTTGTCCTTAGAAGATATCAGTCAAGGCGTCCCTGAAGACGATTCACACCAAGAGACACAGGTGTCTTCCAGCTCAAGTCCACAGGTAAGAGTATTATAAAAGTTGGGTGAATAATTTTACACTATCAGTGCGGAAGAAAAATGTCTTAACTAACAATGTAATAGTTAAAGAGAATACTCCAAAGAGTCACGAAATCGATTTCGTAAAAACAAAAGAGAGAAACGAGAAGATTTCATCTTTACATTTTCGGTAATACTATTTTCTTAGCCTTGACTTTCCAAAAAAATTTAATGTAATTTTATAATTATTACTTCAATATTTATTTCACTAATTGATACTATTGCTATTAATTAGGACAGTACCTGGGCTACCGACCTTCGCTCGGAGTTTTTGGCCTAAAGTACAATTTTCTTTTTTTTTTAAATGATAAACATAAATAAATATAAAAATAACGAAAATAAACAAAAGTAAAAACTTTGAATCGGACCGAGATTCGAACCCTGACATCTGTGAAAGTCAATCTTGCGTCTTGGCCGCTTGATCACGATGCTTATGCCAGAGCGTGCGAAATTACGGACCATATTTTGTGTGGAATAATGCGAAAGACACCCGCATGAAAACTCGAAAACAGGCGTTTTCTCAGACAAGGTTAATATATATATATATATATATATATATATATATATAATATATATAATATATATATATATATATATATATATATATATATATATATATATATATATATATATAATATATATATATATATATATATATATAAGATAAGGCAGACTAACTAAGTACAGTGCCGACCCTAACCTTTGATTAGGGTAGAGCGAGATTGTCCTTCAGTGCCCTTTAGTCGGCGCTCTTACTTTACATAAATTGTACTTTGGCTTTATTTTATATAAATTATAATAACCAATTTTTTCAATGAAATTCAATATGCAATCGACAGAAATTTACAGATTTTTCATCGTCACTCTACGGATTTTCAGAAAACTCGCCTAGCAACACTGACCCGCGTCTTTCAAAAGACGTCATCAAAATTTTATTTTTTGCTGAAATTTAATTTTTTGGCGCCCCTTGCTACCTGGCAGCTGGAGCGACCACTCCTCTCGCTCTACCCCTGGGCCGGCGCTGACTTAGGCTCATTTAAAGAAATATATTTATTAACATGTTAACTTGTCAATTGCTATTATAATCTTATATCTTTAAACGAGCAATTCTTGAATATATACAATCTGAATCTCGGAAACGGCTCCAACGATTTTCATGAAATTTAGTATACATGGGATTTCAGGGGCGATAAAGTTTCTCATTATTCCACGTAAAATATGGTCGTTAATTCGGACGCTAGGACATAAACTTGGTCAAGCGGCCAAGGCGAAAGTGTGAGGTATCACAGGTATTTGGGTTTGTATCCCGGTCGGATACAAATTTTTACTTTTGTTTTTTTGTATTTATTCAAATTTTTAGTTTGTTTTTTTTTAATGTTTTTTTGGCCAAAAACTCCGAGCGAAGCTCGGTAGCCTAGGTGCTTAGTACTAAATGGCCATTTCAATATTAGTTCAGAGCATAAAAATTTTTTTTCTTATTTAATAGTCTATTATCATTGAAAAAAATATAATAATATATAATAATGCCCTCCTGACCGATTGTGGCCACGGCGGCCAATATCATTGATACTAACCAACTGCGAAGGAGATATTATAGTGCACAAGTGTACGCGCAGACACAAGTGCATCCCTGTCACTCATACTCCGGTGGGACGATACGAGACACGACCGGTGAGAAGTTAAGGCGCAGGACCGACGGCTTTACGTGCTCTCCGAGGCACGGGGGTGAAACACCGCCACCTTCCCAACTCCGGGCTGTTACTTAATAGTTTACAAGTTTTTAGATTTTTTGTCTATCTGTCTGTCTGTTACCCCATCACAGAAAAACCACTGGAGCGATTTTAACGAAATTTGGTATGGTGATAGCTGGTTATCCGGGTCAACATATAGGATACATTTTAACGAGGGAAAATATCTCATCTCTGAGAAAAAATACAAAAACTGTAATGTAAGAATATACTAATATGAAAAACCTAAGGATTTGGTTTTTGGTCATCTAAACGCGGGCGTAGCCGCGGGTAATGCTAGTTAAAATATAAAACTGTTCATTTGCCGTATAACATTACCATTCTTTAATGGTCTTCCGAGTAAGTGCCACTACTGGCCGGTGCGATAATACAGGGCATGCTTATTTTTAAATATAACGATTCGATTTCCGTATAGAAAAATAGTTTTCTTTAACATCTGTAACGTTATTTTACTTTTATTACAGTCGACTTCCTAGGGTATATCCGCTTTTATCTATATTTTCTATTTGTGCAATCTATTACTTAAAAAGTTTACTCTGCATAGAGATTGTGTAAGTCTATCGATGTTATGAAAAATAACTGTTTTTTTTTTCTTAAATTTAAAAAAAAAACAAATAAAATATATTTCAGGTTTATTAGATAGCTTTGGTCTACTCTTGATTTGTGATTCCTTAAAAAAATTCTATATTCCTAAAAGTGTTGTTTGCATTTCGGTGATGTCGGCGACGAAGCACGCCAATGTTATCGTACTTTATTTTAATAAGCAATAAGCATGCTACATTTCACGATCAATATGAAAACGATCATTGTTTCAAGGCCATTCAGTGCACAACAAAAAATATTATTGTAGTACAGTGTAAGCTGTCCCCGTGATCATTCGACTATTAAATACTTGTGAAAATGAAAAATAAAAAAGAAAAAAAAACATCCAAATTTTAAAAACTGAAATCAAAGGTATAAGTAAGAAATTACCATTTCAAAATTGCTTATATTGAAAAATGTTTTATTATCGATACTTAAGTAGTGCCCGCACTCTCTTTGTTTCACTTGTTGCTTTTCTAACACAGGCTACTTAAAACTAAACATATAGTGAATGATTTATAAAATCATATGGTATTTTTAACTATCGATTACAAGGTTTTAACAAGGATAAAAGCTCGTCAGGTAGTATATATGGTCACTTAAATAAAATGATAGCCAATTTGTAATAAAATGTAAAGGTATGTTCTCAGTACTGACATAAATTGTATTCTACGTTACTCTCTGACTTATATTATCTATAAACAAACGGTCTTGTCAATCCCTTTCTGCATATAAGGGAGGTCACACGACATTCTTTTGTAGCCATTATAATACTATGCCATGTTAAAATACATTATTATTATTCGACAAGTTGCTGACTTATATATATAATAAAATTCTAACTAAGCCGAATCTGTACAGTAAATATTTTTTGGAAAATCTTATTGAAATATACATTACTAGCATTGCCTGTGGCTCCGTCCGCGTTCAGATGACCAAAAACCAAATTCTTAGGCTTTATATATTAGTATATGTTAAAACGTAAGTAGGGACGAACCCGAGCGGAGGGAGGGTGAGTCGCTAGTTATTAATAAGAATATTACTATATCAACGCGTATCTAATGTTGTTAAGATGTCAACATTTTTTTAAAGAAGTTCGAATACAAGAATACGAAAGAAATTGCAGTAAACTAACTACTTTGATGTGAAATTTGTAATGAAATGATTGTTACTTAGAATAATGTTATATTACAAAAATTAAATGGATTCTCTTACAAATATGCAATTTTAAATGATAAAAGATCACAAATATTTTAGTATTATTTGAATAAATTTACTTATATTAGGTTCTATAAGTTTGTTAATACTACATATTGTCTAGATATCTGGAATGTGGCATGGAGCAGCAGGCAGTACGCGCGAGGAAGACCGCCACGTGCAGTTCGATGGCGATAAGACAAATGATGCAGATCCGCTCGATGACGCTAGTGAAGAACGTCGGACACAGAGGCACAAGTGAGTACATCAGAAGCTTCACGTTCAATCCATAGCAGGATAGACAAGGTTATTAAAATGCCAGGCCTAACTAAATAGTGCATGTCAATTGGCGGTTTCAACACTATTCTTCCCGTCATAGACCAGGACTATATGGTATTATACTGGGTAGGTATTATACTTTGCATACTTAACTTCGAATTAGAACGCTGTATATTATTATAGTGGAACTATTGTCGATAAAATTAATCTTGCCAAGGTACTTACTACATACAAGGTACTCACTGCGGGACTTATGATGGAAATTGAAAATTAAAAAAAACTTCATCCCGCCAGAGTCCCTAGTTGTACTGTCATAAAGACTTTGTTAAATATCACCAATTCTATTTATTTACCTACGATGACAATGATTGTGGGTTCAATTTCAGCACAAAACAAACGTTTGAATTTCAAAGTGATATTTGTTCCTGTTATTTCAAGAGAAAGTGTGCTACCAATATGCGCATGCTTAACCACAAATGTTACACATTATAATAAATTTAGCTTCAAATTAATTAAATTATTACTTATGGCAACCTTTATCAATATCCGTACAGCGGTTAAATTATAGTAATAGAGTCATTTTATACGTTGACGTAGATATTTAAAAGCAATCATGATATTGCCATGGCCGAGTACTAAGTAATTAGTATGTCAATTTATTAAAAAATAGATGCTGTATTTGCTGCGTTGTAACAGAATGCTTAAAAAATACTGGGGTTTAAATGGGATAAAATATCCCACTTGAACTCCTGCATTTTCCGATTTTAAAAGCATCTTATAATATATAAATTGCATTCTTACTACATAAAATTGAATAATACAAACAAAAAATGGACGAACTAATGTATAGATTTATTGTTAGATAGGCAAAAAATTCAATACGATTGGTTTCAATGCCCGTATGTACCTATAATTAAGATTGTTTAACATATATTGAAAAAAAACTTTTTAACAAAAAAATAAAAACCGACTTCAAACAAAAGCACTAAAAAGTAATAAATAACTGATTGGTAGTTTTCATTTACTATACATACCTAATCAAATATTTTCGAAGTCGGTGTGCTTTGCTTTGTATGGGCTGGCACCGATTTCGAAAATATTGGATTAGGTATGTATTTAATAGGTAGGCTTTAATTACTTAGCCAAAGCACACCGACTTCGAAAATATTTGATTAGGTATGTATAGTAAATGAAAACTACCAATCAGTTATTTATTACTTTTTAGTGCTTTTGTTTGAAGTCGGTTTTTATTTTTTTGTTAAAAAGTTTTTATTTTTCCCTTTTTAGTGTAGACAGTAGTAGAAAAGTAAAGATTCTAACGTGTTAGGCTTGTCAAATCAAACAAAATAAGCCCAAACTCAAAGTATCTACTGTTAGCCGTTGAAGAGTTTCACCATCCACCTTCTGGCCTTGCCATCAGATCAGGTCAACAACACCGTACTATGTACTATCAACGGAAATAGAAATACTTGCAAAGTTTCAAGTCAATATGACAATTAGAAGTAGGTTAAATTCATCATTCGTTGTTTTTCCACCCTTAGGGGTGGTATTTTTTTTTTGAAATTTAAATGGGACCAATCTGGAAGTATACCCTTTCAAACGACACAAAAATTGTCCAAATCGGTTAATAAATGACGGAGTTCTGAGGTAACAAACATAAAAAAAAAAAAAAAAAAAAAAAAAAAACATACAGTCGAATTGAGAACCTCCTCCTTTTTGAAGTCGGTTGAAAAAATATACTACAGTTACAATGTCTCTACAATTTTAAAAGTATGGGTGATCTATAGTTTAATTACCCTCCTTAAATCAACATCGATCGTTAGTTGGACGTCTGATGGAATTAGTTTTTCTGACGAAAACATCAGCTCCACATGTAAAAGTTGGCGCTCTCTGCCACAGGGAACGTAACACGCGTCGCGCGGAAGTGTCACCTGGGTATGGTATAAAAATAGAGTACAGAGTCGCGTGACTTTGGCATTGTACCTCCCTGAAGTAAATCAAGCTTGAGCTTATTTAACACAATCGTACATGGGTGGCGCGTTTGCGCGGTGGTTTCGCTCAAGGAACAAAAGTTTTTAATTATAAAATTTCAATATGCCAGTAACGTACTCCCGGTCATCGGAAGTGCGAGAGAAACGGTGAGTGCAAATGCACTGCAACTTCATCTAATAACATTTATAGATGATATATATGATGAAAATATTATAATTACATATTTATAATTGTAATAATATGTCAAACAAAACTATTTACTTCAAATGACAGGTAACAAAATTTGTTATGCAATTTAATCTCATATAATGTTTACTTGTAATCGACTTGGTGTCTCCTTAATCCAATGAAAGACAATAGAAAATCGTGTCGCGCTCCATTAGCATTTGAACCAGTCCGAATGTTACGGCCACGTCCCACAGCCGCATTTTGCGCTTTTTGCGCTTTCTGTCCTTGAGTACGTATTTCATTACATATAAGACACAAAATAGAGGTTGGCTAAACTCATAATATAAGGATTAAAAGTAAAGTAAAGGGATATGCTATAACTTGCTCATGTTATAAGTCAAATATTTATATAAGCATAGTTTAACCATCCTTCACGTTATCACACATCACATCCCCATGTTTTGTACAAGAAGATGGTTCATCCACAAAACTACTCCCTTTAACAACATACACACAAGCTAAAACATATTTTAGGTTCCAAACAAATTTCATGTTTCAGTACCTAGCGAACGAGGAGGCTTACAAAACATCCATCGGATTACGTTTTCCAGATGAGGAATATTTTTATTTTTTTCCTCTGTTTTCCATTATCTCTTGTTGTTACTCTTGTTAATCCACCAACTGAATATAGCACTGCGTAAAGCATTAGTTTAAAAGGGGCTTGTGGAATCCATAATAATTACTATGACTTAAAAAGTATGTAAATCTAATGAACTTTAATGTTTTTATTAAGGAGTTCAACTTACTATAAAGTAGCTTTAGATAAATAATTTTAATATTTGCTCATTATGATAACTTTATTAAAGGGTTCTGTATGCGGTTATAATTAACTAAAAAGAATCTATTTTAATTAATATTTCGAGCTACGAGATAATCTACATAGAGAACGATTCTAAGCCTATGAAATATGGAAACCAACCTTAACAACAAAGGCCGCCCAATAGGAAAGTTGAATATTAAAATAAAATGTAATATAGTGCAAAAATATTGGGTTTTCTCCAAACTGAAACAACTTAAAATTATTTGAGGTTTCCAGTTCGGAGAAAAATTATATGCTTATATAATAAAAATCGTTTCCAGTTAATTATAACGACACAAGATAATTTGATTTTAATTGGATAGTGCAAGTAAAATTTCATCACTTCAATTTATATAGATTTTCGTTTTAATCTATACTAATATTATAAAGAGGTAAAGTTTGTGATTTTGTGAGTTTGTGACGTAGAGGGTAATCTCTGGATTTACTGAACCGATTTAGATGAAGTTCGGTAGGAAGATAGTTTGAGACTCTGGGAAGGACATAGGATCGTTTTTATCCCGGAAATTATCCCTTAAGAGGGTAAAAAGGAGGGTGAAAGTTTGTTTGGTGAATCGAGCTAGGGACGAATCCAAGCGAAGCGAGGGTGAGTCGCTAGTATGTATGTATATCTTAGGCATCTCCTAGTGCACGCCACTGAGTGCTAGAAGTTTATTTTTAGCAGTACACCAAAACTTGCTGATAATGATGATGATACATATTTATTGTCATAGTCGTCACATGCACCCGCACAAAGGTCGTAAGTATTCGCTGCAAGAAGGCGCACGAGGCGGTGGAGCAGAAGGCGGGCGGCGCGTCTCTATCGTGCCCTCGGACGAACCCTTGCCTGAGGCCGACCAGGACGACCTCCGTAGCCATCGCAGTGACGACGCGAAAGCTCTACGAAGACATAAGATTACACCGCGGGTACTTATCGTTTTTATATTTTACATGATTTATCTATCTACGAGTATATACAGTATGAATGTTGGTAAGCGCATAACTCAAGAATGGCTCGACCAATTCGGCTAATTTATTTTTTTGTATGTTCCTTAAGGTCCACGGAAGGTTTTAATACTTCATGGCTAACACTGGCTAATAACTACTTAAAACGTACCTAGCGACGAACCCGAGCGAAGCGAGGGTGAGCCGCTAGTTTTATAATAGATTTGATTTTTAATTTCACTTATAAATGATACTTAACATCACGTTTTATTGATAAGTATCTAAATTAAGTTGTTTTAGTATGAACACAACTTACATGAGATGTAAATACATGAATTTTGTAGGTACATCAGAAAACTAATTGTGCTTTTCACAAACAAAAGAAAATTTTAAAAAGATATAAAAAATCATTCAAATAAGTACTACTCGAATATGCAACATTTAAAAACAAATTTCTTTGTCTTATTATGATGAACTAGAGAAAGATCCCGGGTTCACTCATCGCGCACCTCATTATAATAATACTATTAGGATAAAGTCTTCACAGTATATTACGTTTAGCATGAAATTGATTTTGCAATTAATGATGCAGTTTTAAGTAAAAGAGGACTATATGATTACCTAAAAATCGTTCGATATATTCATGTTTATGCAGAAATATTTCCACCACGCTACGACTGCGCTGGAAAAATGAAAAACCAAAAAATTATTAATAAATCTATATTAATAGTTATTTTCACCTTTTAACTATATAATTATTTCCATATAAAATATGACTATGAATGTTCTTACATTGCCTTATTACTATTTTGATAGTTTTAATTATTTTTACATTAATTCACATTGTTTTATTTAATACCTATATAATTCTGTGTATTTTATTTTCTTATCAACGGAATTAAATAAATCTCTGCTTTTCGGCTTAAATTAACGTAGTGTCAACTTCAGTTTCTCTTAAGCGATAATAGTTTATGGATAAATAATATTTGATACACCTATGAGTTTTTCAATAGTCTAATTGTTTTAGGGCACTACGGTGCATGTTGGCCGCAATGATGGAGGAGACAAAGTTCAAAACATTTTATCAGATACAACATTAAAGAAGTTGTATGACCACAGCCCGCATTCGGTAAGATTTCACACACGTTTAAGCTTTTACGGCAGTTCTATTCACCTATCTATTTAAAGTCTTATTACAATAGATAGAAATTTGTCATATTATATGCGTCAAACAAATTAAACAAATTCCTATCGCTATTAACGAAAACTACAGATTGGCTATTACGGTCTTCCGCATTGTATGTACTTATATAAAAGCGAAAGACTATTTTTAATTATTGATTTATCATGAGAGGTGTATTTCAAGCGGTAAACTTTGTTTGGACTTTGTTTATTAAATGGTAATACAACTGTGAAATTGAGTATAAATTTTGCATATTACCTATAATGAGACACGTATAACACATTTCTGTGAAATTTCGCACGCAAAATTGGTGGAGAGCAGAGGGGGTGGCCCCCTTTGCTTGGGAGTATAAATAAACTACACAAGTAGAGCCACGGACAATTTTTTTTGTTTGTACAAAAAAAACTTGTCTATTTAATTAATAATATTGTACTTCTGACCGATAAAAAAAAAACAATTTTATATAATCAATTACGATTGTCAGACATAATCTTTTTGAGATAGAGCGTAGTTTTATAACTTCAAAAATGTAAATGTAGACCAGTTTTGTTCAGGATGTCACTTATGCAGGTGTTCGTACAACTGGATGAGCTGCTAGCAACGGAGGATGGGGATGCTGAATGGAAGGAAACTGCCCGTTGGATCAAATATGAGGAAGACGTTGAGGAAGGTTCAGCTCGATGGGGTCGACCTCACGTCGCTTCCCTCTCTTTTCATTCCCTTCTGAACTTAAGAAGATGCCTCGAAACCGGAGTGGTACTACTCGACCTAGACGAAAAAGACCTACCCGGCGTAGCATACAGGTATTTAATAATGATTTATAACGGCTTTCCTACTTAGCTGTTAATTATAGTATATTGGCTTATTATTAACATATTCATTTACCGTATCATATTAGCCCGCTTAACTATAGCCTATATTATTTCGAATGATTTAATATATTTTTAATATGGATCAATTATTAATAAAACGAAACAGTTCAATTTTAAAGGGACTAAATTAATACCTATGAAATAGTTAACATTGTTTTATTATTAAGAACCAATAACATGAAATTAGTGCAAAAGTTGATGTTAAAAAGTTAACTAATACCTATTGATGTATAGGTTATCAAGTGAATAAATTATATATTCTTATTTAAAAAGTATATTTAAAAAAAATATTAATTTTAAAAATATATAAAAGAATTGAGGAAAGAATGTGCAGATTCAATTTAGATTCAATGTTATTAATATAGTATTATTTTGACAAAAGAAAAATTATTTGTCATAATAATTATATAATGTGTATAGCTAGTACCTACCTACTGATCTTCCATTGCATTGATTCATTGTATTTTTATTTATAACGCTATTATGAATTTATAACAGAGTGGTTGAGAGTATGGTGACAGAAGGCTTAATTGAAGAAGATGACAAACCTGTCGTAATGCGTTCTTTGCTTCTGCGGCATCGTCACGTTCATGACGACCGCTTCAGGTTTTCTATCAGTGGGCGCAAGCAATCATCCTACACCAGCTTACAGGTAGGCAGACATTAAAATAAACTATACTATGTAATTATTACATTCATTCAAGAAAAAATATACTATCGTAAAAATATTACAAGTGGTTATATCATATCTGTGGTGGTTTTTACAAGTCCTATCTGGATAAAAAAAGGAAATTTTTGATGATATCAATATGACATAATTGATTATACAAGATATAGCAAATAGGTAAAGCTAAACGTATTTTTGTAAAAAAAAATTGCTATTTTTTTGATAATATTGCTTTTTTTTCTTTTATTCTTTTTGTAGAGAACATAATTAGATGAATATTATTTTTTTATTAGATAAAAAGGACTAAAGTAGAATAAATAATAAAACGAATTTCTTTTCTCTGTTTTAGAAGTTAAAGAAATTTACGCTAATAGTGTCACGTTTATCATACATAATATAATACGATAGTAGGTTTGACATATTCATGATGTATGTGAAAATGTTCAAGGCTATTTCGTATCAATAATTTAGCCACTGATTGTGTTGCGATTTGAAGCAGAATTTATCAACTATTCGTATTGTGGTAGCGAGTCATCCTCGCTTCGCTGGGGTTCGTCCCTGGGTTAATTCCCCATACAAAATTTCATCCCCTTTTTTCTTAAATTTTATAAGTTCCTTAATTTTTTTAATGTAAAAACCTACGAAGTACTAGAAAATGATTAAAAAAAAAGATGAATGAAAACGGTAAAGCCGTTCTCACGTTAAAGCGTGACCAGGAGAAATAGGAGTTCATTCTTTTTATATCTAATTAAAATAAGAATTAATCCGTTATGTACTACATAGATATAATTTTTTTAATTAAATAAACATATAATCTAGGATTGGAATGGATCAGTCCAGATTTGTTTGGAGTACAATACTTAATCATAACTATGAATTGACTAAGCTATAATTGGTGTTGCTGAATGTTTTCTATAATGAGCCAAGATCCATTCCTTATACAGTATACCTATAAAGTTAATAAGTGTTTCAATGTAATATAGTCAGTAATTATCGGTAAAAGAAATATTTTAACTTAATTGATTAGTTAAGATGAATAAACAATGAATAATACATATTTAATTATAAATATTATTATAAATTATGGCACTCTAAAGGTATTTCAGTAGACATTTATGGATGATAAAGTTTGTATTATATCAGCGGGGTGACGAAATGTGTTCTGCAGTCTCTTTGGTTGGAGGAGAGCGGCATGGCGGGCGCGGGCTGCCCGCGGCCCTCGTGCGTGCTGTGCTCGCCCGCCATCGCCTGCCGCCGCCACAGCGCCCATGTCTTTGTACGCAAACCCCCCAGTGCGATACGTGCGCGTGTTACCCTATACATTCCTTGCACTAGGCTTTTTCGACAGTATCTCATCGACAGATCACTGCAGCATCCCTAGCTTATTTCGTTAGTGTGTCTCATTTTTTGCAGGTATTCGTTATACTAGAATCACTTCCGCTAGATATTTTGCAATAACGTAATGGTATCATTCCAGCTGGTATTAGAAAGTAGACAGCCATCATTCGTAGTCCATGATAGTTAGATAAGTATGTCTAGAAATATTTTGTTTAACTATCGTAGCTCTAATGTAGAATCTTAATGTGTTTTTTACGTCGTTAGTGTTAAATCGAAATTGTCTGTAAACATTCATAGGGTTTTAATCAATGTCTCCAACTGACAGAAGACGCATTATTTGTTATAAGTGATTGAATGCTTTTTATACCGACTGAAATTTTGATTTTTTGCGCACCTTTTTTATTGTTATTTTAATATAAAGCATGATATCAATAAATTGCTTACATATCCCGGACGCATTCATAATTTGTTATTAAATGACTCCATTACAATGATTTTGCACGAGTGATGATTGCTTCGAAGAAATTCAGATGAATACTTATTTATCTTTTATAATATGTATTGTTCAGATTTAGATATTTCAAACAATAGAAAACATTTAAACTACCTTTTATTGCTATCTGAATTTTATTAGCATATAATTATATAAATACAATAATTTCAACATATATACAAAATTTGTACTATATTTTTTTTATGTTAAGGAATAAATAACATCGATTAAAATGCATAGTGACTTTATTTACAAGGTTTATTTCTTAACTTTTTGCAATTTTTAAATTTTATGTTAGAATCTATAACTCTTAGATAAAAGTTTTGTGTTATTATTATATTGTAATGGGTACAAAAAAGCTCTCAATTTAATATGTAGGTACTTCCTATGGTACTTACATCCATTACATTTGTTTTAGGATTAACTTAGGACTATAGACAAATATAATATAGATAAAGTGACTAATATTTTAGACGTCTTTTTTACACACTTAGTATTTTTGTTCAAAGATCATATTTTTATTATAATGTATGTGAAAATTATAAATATATTTTTACTCTAGAATCTGTCGGATCAGAAACGTCGACGTAGCTCACAAGCTTTACCACTTGATCGGTCAGAAGCACGCAAAAAATCATCCGCGGCGGCTTTGGAAATGCGTGAAGTTGAATATCTGGCAACAGCCGCAGCCGCCGAGTCACAGGATGAGCTCCGCCGTGGTCATAATGATTCCATCCTGAAACGTATTCCGGGGGATGCCGAAGCAACAACTGTACTGGTCGGTGCAGTCGGTTTTCTTGACCAGCCCACTATCGCTTTCGTTCGTTTAGCCCAAGGAATCCTAATGCCGTCTATTACAGAGGTTCCTATACCCGTACGCTTCATGTTTATTCTTCTAGGACCCACTACAGCTGACCTTGACTATCATGAAGTCGGTAGGTCAATATCTACTCTTATGTCGAATCCCACATTTCATTCTATCGCATATAAGGCAGAGGATCGTCGTGAACTACTTTCGGCTATAAACGAATTCTTAGATGACTCTATAGTGTTGCCGCCTGGCGATTGGGAGCGACAAGCTTTATTGCCTTTTGAAGAATTGAGGTCTAAAAGCGAAATGATAAGGCGAAGGAAACGGGATGCTCTCGAACGCAAGCGAGCAACTGCTACTGCAGCTAATGCGACCATACCTGCGTCAGATGAAAAGAAAGCTTTATTGGCTGCAGAGATGGGAGGTATCCCCGAAAAGGAACCTGATGACCCTCTGTCAAAAAGTGGACGTCTGTTTGGTGGCAAGTACATTTTATTGAGCTTATGGAATATATTTTAATCTTGTTTTTTATATTATAATTTTTTTTTTTTATTATTACAGGTGTGATAAGAGATATTAAGAGACGTTATCCACACTACATATCTGACTTTCGTGATGCCTTAAACGGACAGTGTGCTTCTGCTACCATTTTCATGTATTTCGCAGCACTTTCATCTGCTATAACATTTGGTGGTTTATTGGCTGAAAAGACCGACAGACAGATTGGTATTTCAGAGACTTTAGTAAGTTTTCAATGCCTTACTTAATTTTTGCTTATATTTTTTAATTAATCATTGCTAACAATAAATCATTTATATTATATTTTAAATACTTTTAATGACAAAAGTTAATTTTTGTTAACAGGTTTTTACATGCGTGGGTGGAATTTTCTTTGCGCTAGTTGCCGGGCAACCAATGATGATAACAGGTGCTACTGGTCCATTATTACTTCTCGATGACGCACTTTTTGTCTTTTGTCGATCATACGGATTTCATTTTTTGGCTGCTAGGATGTACTGTGGAATTTGGATGATAATTATAGCTTTGTGCGTTGCGTCTATTGAAGGAAGTGTTGCAGTAAAAAAGATAACTAGGTTAATAACAATAATAATTACGTTAAATTATGATAATAAATTTATTTTATTAATAATAATCTTAATTGTATAAATATATTTATGTTTCTAGGTTCACGGAAGATATTTTTGCATTTTTAATATCTTTGATATTCATATCGGAGCCTATAACCAACATAATCAACTTATATCGAATGCATCCACTTGGATATGACTATTGTCAAAATACGACAGAAATTACCAATAATACGACACTGGCAACACCTCTATTAAATTCAACAGCTACGGGTAACGTATTAACTATTAAAACGCTACTTATTGACTTGGCCAATCGGCACCCCATGTAGAACCTTTTTTATTTACTTTAAATTGAACGGATTTTAAATATTTATTTTATAACTCTGCATATAGAGTTATAACATTTCAATGTAGCTCACACTCCTCCGTAGCGCAATATGCTTAAAAAAAGTTTGCGAATTTTCTTTTTCACAAATTTATATGCAGTTATTTTTCACTAAGATAAATCAAATATTAGTAGCGCACTTAATTCTGTAAACTTAAAGTCTTTAATAAGCATATATGTAATTGAAATAAACAATTTTATTTTGCAGCAAATGAAACGATTGTCCCTCCTCCTATATTCGTTCGTGAAGTTATACCACCACAACCGAATACGGCACTTTTCTGCACAATACTCACAGTGACTACATTTATAATCGCTTACTATTTGCGTATCTTCCGTAATGGAAAGTTTTTGGGTCGCAGTGTACGTATCCATTATCACTTATTTTATTATTTTTTATAAGTAAATGATATATCTGATTACTGAGAATAATAAGGCATCTCAATATATTGTTCTAAAACTTCATTACACATAGGTAAGAAGAAAGTCACTTAAAAATTAGAAACAAATTAATCGCATTATTTGTGCTTTATTTATTTTAATTACACTGATATAATAATGATTCAGGCACGTCGTGCACTCGGTGACTTCGGGGTTCCAATCGCAATTGTGCTGATGGTCGGTATCTCGTGCTTAGTACCTGTGTGGACTGAGAAGCTGCAAGTGCCAGATGGATTAAGCCCTACTTCATCGCGATCCTGGCTTGTTCCTCTAAATCCTGGCCTGGAAACTATTCCTGTATGGGCTGCCTTTGCTATGGTTTTACCGGCACTGATGGTCTACATTATCGTGTTTATGGAGACTCATATTGCAGAGTAAGATATTGAATAGTAGTGTTATGTAGAAAGACTGAAATAATTTAAAAGGTTTTGCTTATTAAAAGTAATTTAACAATATAAATTTACTGCTATTATGTATATTTTCACTTTGGTCTTTCGAATAACATTTTAAATCTTAGGTATATACCATGAGTACTCATGTATTAGTCAAAATAGAAGTATATTTTATATGTAATTAAAGCTTTGCGTGCTTTGCGATCGCATTTGCGATTTTTCTATTTCATAAGTGCACAGTTAAGAATATTGAAATAACGTAGTTAGTAAATAACATTGTCAATATTCTTTTATTCTGTGTTGATGCTTTGCGAATTCTATAATAATACAATCCTGCTAATAGGTTGATTATTGACAAGCCGGAGCGACGTCTGAAGAAGGGCAGCGGGTTCCACATGGACATCGTAGTGATGTCTCTCATAAACTCTGTGTGTGGGATGTTTGGTGCACCGTGGCAATGCGTAGCAACAGTGCGCTCCGTCAGCCATGTCTCCGCGCTCACCATTATGTCGACCACTCACGCTCCCGGTGACAAGCCTTACATTGTGGAAGTTAAAGGTTTGTGACTATCAACAATATTCAAGATAATATTTTGATTATATTAAGTACTGTCTCCTGTTTTAACTATTATACATAATATGTTGTGTTATCTTATTAACACTTTAATCTCTTTAATTTACAGAGCAACGTCTGTCTGGTCTTCTGGTGTCTTTCTTAGTAGGTATATCTGTTTTGGCGTCTGGGTGGCTTAGATCTGTGCCGATGGCTGTGCTGTTTGGAGTTTTCCTGTATATGGGAATATCAGCTTTAGGCGGAATTCAATTCTGGGACCGCTGCATTTTATTACTAAAACCTGTAAAACATCATCCACAAATCCCGTATGTTAGAAGGGTAAGCAGGATTAAATTTACTTTAAATAAGAGACTGTTCTATTTATTCATAATAGTTGTTGTGACATAAACAACTTTTTCATACCAAAATTTGTTCATTTTTTATCCCACAGGCTTTCGTAGAGATACATACATGTCAATGGTTTAGACGTATTGCTTAAACTTGGTCATTGGTCAATTTGTAGGAACTATCATATGTGTATAATATATATAGAAAAACTAAATACAACTGGTTATAGATTTATTCGAACAAATTGAAAATAGGTTATCTTTGTGCATTTACCTTTGCGCTCTCCTCTGGACGGCGCCTCTGGATACCAGAGGCGGGGTAGACGTTCTTGTATATAAAAGGTCTCAGAACAATGGTGTTCCCACTTTTCTATAGCAAACCAAAAACTTTTTTATTATTATTAGTATTAATAAAAATAACAGCTAGAAAGAGTTCAAAATGTCTTATGCCTCTCTGGTCTACAATTGTTAAACTGTTTCTCGTAGAACAATACCGTCATAATAGTATTTATTTACTATTTTTTAGGTACCAACCATGAAGATGCATTTATATACTATTATTCAACTAGCTGGGATATGTTTACTGTATGCTGTAAAGTCATCGCGTTTCTCCTTGGCCTTGCCTTTCTTCTTAGTTATGATGGTTCCTCTACGCATGGCCTTGGGCTACGTGTTCACACCGCTGCAATTGCGTGCGGTATGTTGAATCACTTTTTAACGTAATGTGTAAGCTTCGTTCAACATATTTTTGTATTTCTTTTATATTATTTGCGTTTATTCTATAAAATAAAATAATGCTTATTACCTATATGAAATGTTTCTTAAAATATGCTTGGTATTAATCAAACATCTACAACTATATGAACTGGTACACTTATTTAAAACTATTGACCCAGCGACTTAAGACCACTAGATGTAACGGGATTATAATAATTATCAATAGCTCTCTAATTAATAAACTATCTTTATGTAGGTAAAGTGGTAGTCCACTCCACAGTCCTCAGTGGTAGCCCAGTGCCAGTGGTAGCCCAGTGGTAACGGTCTCGCTTGGGAAACCGAGTGAAGCGGGTTCAAATCCCGGGTCTCGCACCTCTGATATTTTCATGTGCGAATCATTTCTAACATGATTACCACTTGCCTTACGGTGAAGGAAAACATCGTGAGGAAACCTGCATGTCTGAGAGAACTTAGCAAGTTTTCGAAAAACATGTGAAGTCCGCCAACCCGCACTTGGCCAGCGTGGTGGACTATGGCCTGATCCCCCTGGTATTGAAGGGAGGCCCGTGCCCAGCAGTGGGACGTTAAAAAAGGGCTGAATACAAAGTAATAAAATAATATACCTAATAATAATTTTGTTAATTAATTTGACGTCATCTGTGTTATAAATAAAACAAACGTAGACAAAAGTTCTATCACTAGTTATTTATAATACCTATACAATATTTACAGTTGGACGGCGCCCAAAAAGACATTGACAAAGATGATGAGCCAGATTTTTACGAGGAAGCACCGTTGCCCGGCTAGGGTGCTGCAGCTTAAACATGTATATGAACTAGAAGACTTAAGAATTCATATCATATAATTTTTTAATGAATAAATGTCCGTATTTCTAATTATAGATATGTTTGTACTACATATAAGAGTATTGTTTCAGATAGTTTCATAGAAAATTCTAGTGAATTATCAGCATGTCCGATATTTCTTTTTACAATTACGTAGTATATACATTTATGTGTATGCTATATATTATAAGTGCAATGTGCATACCAATTCTGTATATATATATATATATATATATATATATATGCATTGTTGATTTATAATCTACAGTGTGAAGAATATAACATTTAGATATAAAAATATATAATTACTTAACTTTTAACATTATGACACATGTTTTATATCTAAATGTATCTAAATGTATGTGAGTTTCATATCTAATGTAATGTCCTCCTCGGTGTGTAGTGGCTAGTATGTACGGCTGCACACTCGGAGGTTCTGGGTTCGAGTCCCGGGTCGGGCCAAGTTTAGTTATTGAGTCTTTCTGTATAGTAAGTCTCAGTAACAGTCCGGAGTTGGGAAGTTGGCGGTGTATCACCCCGTGCCTCGGAGAGCACGTAAAGCCGTCGGTCCTGCACCTTAACTCTCACCGGTCGTGTCGAGCAGTCGTCCCACCAGAGTGACAGGAATAGAGAGTGCACTTGTGTCTGCGCGTACACTTGTGCACTATAATATCTCCTGCACAGTTGGCTAGTCTCAATGAGATTGGCAGCCGTAGCCGGAATCGGTCAGGAGAACATCATCTAAATGTTTAATATTAATTTACTATGTATGTAAGTAAATCGGAAGGTAGGGTTGTCTTTCAGTCATCACGCGCCACAACTACCTATTATTTGTTGTCGTCAATTGTAAAATTGACCTATTGCTCAAATGAATTTGTCTTTATTTATTCCAAAAATATTTAAACTTACGTCAATTAATAAACATTAACAAGAACGTTACATCTCGGAGCTGTGACAATATCAATGTGTGGTGCAAATTTAGAAATGGCTGTGCTAATTCTAGCATATTTTGAGTGAACATAGATGTTATGTATATTTTATAATTTATTCTACAATTCTACATTAAAAAATTAGATTAGTTGTAGTGCTTGGCTTTAATATTATACTTCCTGTCACTTTTATCTGTGGAAATTATAAAAAATCCCTTCCACAAAAAAATCATATAAAAATGCATAGGTATTAAAGTGTAGTGTAAGTGAGTGTTACTGGATATTTGAATGTACATACGATAAGATAACTCTTGTTCATTGCCTGCCTCTTGCACTTAAGAATACTTTATTTCGTCCAAATTACTGTTACTCTAAGTAAATAACCTATTATTTAAAAAGACGCTTTTATGGCTTTACTGTTTAGCAATTAAATTGCAAGAAACACAAGAATGATTAATCATTAAATATTATTATAAAATATATAATATATACACACATAATTCTGTATTGTACTTTATTGATTAGTTATATTATTATTATAATATATTGATAAGATAATTAGAAAAGAAATACTTAGTTCTTCTATTACAAAAAAATATTTATTATTTAATGTATATATATACGTAGGTATATCTATAGATGTACCTATGTAAAAGTGCGTTCCATTCACATAAAGTAACTTTATTATAATTACAACTTATTGCAAAGTACTTATTTTTATTAAAATGTATGCCAAAGCATAGGTGCCAAAGAGACACTGTTGTGTTTGAAAATTATAATTGAATTTTGACAACAACATTTTACAAAACATGGAATGGTTCTCACGCTCTTCTTTTAATGTAAATCAAGTTATTAGTAAACTCAGTATTAATTTAATGTTACCATTTAATCCATTATATGTAAGACATATTAATTGCATATGAAGACTAGTAATTAAATATAACTACCGTTATCGTCGAAGCGTGTTCTGAAAAAAGGATACCTACTGCACGATATTAAGACATTTGGTTGTATTACATTTATCTATTTATGAATGTTGTCGCTTTGAGTGTTTGCGCTAGTTTGTCCGCACCGTCTGCACTAAGCAGCTAATTAAAGTATGGACACAGAAATCACAATAACCAAATGATTTCACGAGTTCATTGACTTATTATTTCATATAGTATCAGAGTAAACCAGTGTACGTTATTTAAAATAAACGTATTTAAGCAAGAACTGACTTACCAAACAGTGCAAATGCTTATGTTTAAATCAGATAAGTATCTAAGAGTATTTTATGTCCGTTAGTTATTGTACTTAAATATACTTAATGAAATATAATGATATTGTGTAGTATTACATAAAAAAAAAACATTTTAGACAGTTATAACATTCCAAAGTTGAAATTATGTTTAATTATGTTAACCTATCAGGTCTAAGTGAGTAGTATTTGTTGTTTACTTATTGCGTTATTATGAAGTATAATAACGCAATAATACTTAATAATATGCTTTGAGTCGACACATAGAAATACCATATACATACAGCCTATGATTGTTTATATTAAGTCATTTTTATTTTTAAGTTATTTTAATTAGTACCTACCTATGTGCGTAATTTATCTCTTAACGAAACGTTCATAGATAATCGTCATTTTATTTTTAAACCGGGAGTGTTTCCGTACCTACTCTTATAAATTCTATTCATTTTATTGTTAATTATGTTGGTTTTCATTAAATTATTATTTAAACTAACTTTAGTTTATTATTTTCTATTTGTAAAAATATTTATGCGTAAGCTCGTCAAGTACTTTCGTTTGTAAATACTGATAGAATCTTGAAAATTCAAGGTTTAAACATGTTTTTCAGTTCTAAGGTTAGCACACGCACCTAATTGTTCACACTTATACCAATCCAGCTTTCAAACGTTTTATTAAAGAGCTTTCTCTTAATCTAATCTGATAAGCTTTTAGTGTCAATTACATGGTAGCATCTAGCTAATAATCTAATAAATTCAAGTCATTTACATTATTTTCAATATAATAGTACTAGTATAGTATTATATGATCTGTGATAATAGAATCTGCAACAAAATAGTGCACTAGTGACAAAGTATCGTAATTTTTTTCCAAAAAGAAATATTTACCTTATTTATTAAAATGGTGCGCCAGAGATCAATGAGAAACGAAGTTGTCTTCGGATCTTGCGGGGGTTATATACATAATGAATCTTTGTTACTCTGTTGCCTATTAACTTACTGACTATACTTATTTTTGGAACAAAAACTTATACTTCTTTTGGCACGTTTGGAAAAAATTACGAGAGTATAATTTTCACAATGCGCCCGCACACCGGCAGCCAAAAAAGCGACATGATGAAGTTAGCTGAAAGCGATATGATGAAGTTAGCTGCATTCCTTTTACAAACATAGAGTTGTTACATATGGGATGAAATCTTTAGCTATTTTTGTTCTGTTACGCCAAATAAGTATAACTTCTTACGTGCGTACCTACATACAATCAATAATACACAATATGAATAAAAGTTCTAATTAGGTAAGTACTTTATTACCTATAATAAAATAAAAACATTAGGTATTTATTAATACCATACTCTGACCAAGTAATGTTTTTATCGGTCGAAATTAGTTGTTGCCTGTAAAGAAACTGCTCACCATAAGAAAACTTCTACGCCAAAAATTAAATAGATTAGTTGTTCTGTTGCTAAGTGAAAAGCAGATAATCTAAAACGTATTAAACTAACATAGGCATTCTTCACATATTATATTTAACACCCTTGATTCTAGTCAGGGCTCGATCTAGCCATTTTGCCACCCTGGGCAAAATAATATATGCCGCTCTTTACACTAACACTTTTTGTCAAAGATGGGATATTGTTTATATGATATTATAAGAATTGTATTATATTCATATATTATGTTATCTACTGGACCTTCTGAACAAGTAGTGTATATATACATATTTAAGTATATAATACTTATATGTGTGTATGTTTGTAAGCGTATATGTATATTGTATGTATGTCTGTTAAAGAATTTCTCAAAAACTACTGAATGGATTGATTTTTTTTTCATCGACAATTATGTAGGTACCTTTCAACTTCATCGTTATCATCAACTTGTTTCAATTCACTGCTGCATATAGGCCTCTTTCCCTTGTGCATTTCTTTCCTGTCTCGGGCTAATCTTGTCTACGTATGACCTTTTAACTTAAGAAACAATAAACATGTTTCATCAAAATCGTTTCAGAAGTTAAAAAGATTAAGAAGAAGCTTTTAAGGGAGTCGGTTCAAACGTATTTTAGTTAGGTACAATATTTAAAAGGTTCATACGTTAAGTTTAAAAAAATCACAAAGAATGCTTTGTTTTAAATTTTAATTCAAATAAAAAAAAAAACACTTAATTATGTAACGCTATAAAACTAATCAGCCGTCCTGTCCTGAAAATAATCAAATCAGTCAAAATAAAACATTTTCTCTGAGAATATTAGAACAGAATAAAGATTTATTCAGCACTTAATTACAAAATGTACCTACCTTATGTACCGTACCATGAGTATTTTACTCAGATTCTTAAAGATGCCAAAGTCTTAGCTTCTGAAATTGAGTGCTTCTGTGCTCGATCCAAGAAGAAGCAATTTGTGTAACTTAAGAGGACTCCCAAAAAATGAATTGTTATACAAATAAAAAAAAATTACGAAATGAATTTTGTGTCTTGGTTGATCGAAGATAATTTTTAATAATTTTTAAATCTGAAAAGCCTCATTCACAACTTGCAACTGTTATTGGTAGAGTTAAAAGAATCCTGAGCGCAATACTAATATTTGGACCAAATCTTAAATCTGTGTGTCTTGAGGGGACAAATAGCTATTTAAAAAAGTACAAAGAACTGATATAACTGGTTGTTACAATATTCTAAAAATTCATTTTTTGGGAGTTCTCTTAAGGCATATATGTAGGTACATTATACAAAAAAGCAAAATGTTTACTATGCTCAGTAATCTGGGAAAATCTCAACTCTAAGGAATTTATTTAAATAAATTTCTTCTTTCTCGGGAGACAGCATTATGAAAATTATAAGACGAAGACAGCTCTTTAAAATATGTTGCTCCGTCTAAAGATTTACAGCCACTACAATAGCATTCTTTAAAGAAAAACTATGAAATTTTTCTGTCGAGGTGATAAGCAGCAAGCTAATTTTTATAAGATTTTTTTCTCCTAGAGAGAAAATTGAGAACTCCGTGCCACCGCCCGGCGTCCTCAATTTTGCCGCTCTGGGCATTTGCCCGGGTTGCCCCGTCTTGTCGAAACCTCACGATCGAGAGGTTCAAGAATAGTTTGCGAGTCGGACGGGCGTGACTGTTTTATACAATTGTTTTGTTTTTGTTAAATTTTGCTAAGAATGTGTTAGAAATATAAATACCATCAAAACATAAATGTAAAAAGGGGAGCCAAGTTTAATGTTAAGAATATACGTGGTTGCCACCTTCACCGACAAGAGAATTGAGATCTACATAAATGTGTACCAAGTTCTGAAGATAAACATGATTTTTTTCATAAGAACATACAACATACTAAAATAAATTTAATATACAATTTCTTGCTTTTTTCATCTACAAAATTGTTTGCTATTTAAAAATAGAACTTCTAAGATTTGAAGAGTTGAATTATTGACACGGAGTAGATAATTTAGGACAAATTGAAGTTCAAGATTTGACTTGGCTAGTTTTTACCAGTAAAGCAAGTTTTTAGAAGAGTGAGACACGTTGATCTTACTATATAAAAACAGTAACTTGTGTATAGCATGCAGAAGATATTAGTGATTAGCTCCGAATATAAAATAACTTGTATGTAAATGTTTTTGATTCGACAGCTACTTGATGTTTTATGTCAGCGATGGGATATATAATGTTCTTACACTTGAATTTCTACATTCGTTTCATTATCTGGAAGTTTATTTTATTGACAGTTTCACTTATACGGCGTGTAAAATGCATACATGTATAAAAACAAAAAAATAAAAAATAAACGGAACATTCTAATACTAATAACATAAATAGGAACATAGGAACATCTATACTAATACTATAAAGAGGCGGAGTTTGTTTTTTTGTTTGTTTGTTTGTTTGTTTGTTTGTTTGTTTGTTTGTTTGTTTGTTGGAATGCACTAATCTTAGGAACTACTAATACGATTTGAAAAGTTCTTTTGCATTAGATTGTCCGTTTATTGAAGAAGGTTATAGGCTATATAATATCATCATGCTACTACCCAAAGGAGCGAAGCAGTAATCATAAATGTCAACTGATCGGGCAGACTTCCATACATTATTGTAAAAACTGATGTCGTTTATAATATTATGTGTAAGTGCTTTAAGCTCAGAAACTACTGAGTCCATTTTAAAAAAGCCTTTTGCATAAAGCCAAAGAGTTTTTTTTGTAGTTTTAGCGCAAGCGAAGCCGAGGGTTCTTTTAGTAGAATATAAAAAAATAAAATATAATTGTTAGTTTATATATAATAAATAATGTGAATAATTTATAACGCGGGGATTTGCTTTTAGTTATCTATTTTATAGAAAGAGTTTCCGAATAATATAACATGGCGACATAAATGTTGCTATAAATAAAAACATTTAAAATTGCCAGGTCGTCGATAGCGCTGCCCTCACTAGTACCAATCGTAAACTAAAAAATCGACGTCAATCCAAACATGTCAGTCGCACATAATGGCGGAGGTTGTGTTTTTTTGAGTAATTAAATCCGGTAATGTTTTTTAAAATGAACGAATTTTAACGTCATTTATAATTTTATTAAAAGTTTAGTTTATGATTTTTATTGACTTTGGATTTTACACATAGTGAAAATTTAATTAAGAATGGAGTTTGTGTACGTCGCGCTATCGATACAATCATTGAATTAGTGTACGAGCGAAGGGTCGCTCGCCGGTATCGGAACCAAAAGGGTGGCGGCGGTGTCTGAACAAAATGGGGGCTCAGCAGGCGAAGGAACGCGGAACGGCCAGCGGCGCGTCCATGCGTTCGGCAAGAAACAAGCCCCGGGTGCCCAAAGACCCCCGCATGCTTGGCTCGAATATTTTTACTGAACATAGCGGTGAGTCACTCTTTACTTTTTCATCTTAGTTATATTTTTCATTTATATTATAATAACTCAAACAAATAAGTATAATTTGCTTGCATATCATGGCAAGAAATTTGTCTTCTTTATATACAGAAAGTTTTTGTAGTTCTTGAGTAATTATATTTAGCTCAAAAGACTAGAATCCTTTAGCTATGTACCTCTAATAAGCATTAAATCCATATATCTACACAAAGGCACATTGAACTTCCTCAGTAGATAATTACTTTCTTTTGTTGATTCTGACTAGAACTGTCATATTATATCAACTAACATAATATATATTTATTGGTTTTATTCAATGTATTTCAGATTTTTTTTTACATTCAACAAATCATTTTTAAAAGATAACAAAAATATGTGTAAACTCTGCGCTTATCTCTGCAAGTATCTTTGAGAATAATAAAAGCTACTGTATGCGAATGTATACCACATTTGTTGGTCAGATTCTTTTCACTCACATTAAATAAATATCTTTTCAGCTGATACAAGAAGAAAATATCAATTTCAAATCAAAAAGAACAATAAATAAACTTTATAACTTTAAATTTATCACAATGACTTAAAAGATTTCTATACAAAAGACTTATTTTAAGTAAAATGACAATTTTAAAAAAAGATCTGAATCATATATTATAATTCTTTATTTGATTAGCATTAATAGTCTTGGAAAAATCAAACTTAAAATAATAATGTATATATCAAATGATATGTCATAATGAAAATAACATCTATGTTATTTTATGATAGAATTAGGAAAATGCTATTCATTATATAATAAAACAAGTACACACATTATTAATTATTCACAATTACTGTGAAGTACCTTAGAATAAAGTTATAGAATAAAGTAATTTTGTACAAATTTAATTTGTCAGTGATGCTAGCGATATATGTAATATCATCGGCCTAATTCATGAACCTAATAAGTGCATTTCTGCAAAGTTTACATGACAAAGATAAATCTGAATTATACCATTTCATTTTTAGTAATCAAAATTCTAAAATACTGTAGGTTCCTTTATGTTTTTCTAACCTTTTTATATCTCTATTCCTTTAACATATAATGTAGGTAATCTTCTGAACTTTTTGATTCGCATAAAAAGTAAAATTTCTCAAAAATTAACTTAGCAGGTTAACAAATTAGGCCGACAATATATATTATGTTTATGCTCTGCTAAATGGTGGTTTTATATATATAAACTATTTCAGTATCTTGCTAAGGCGAATTATAATATAAGTTCTAAGAAATTATTATTCTGCTGTGCACTCTTCAGATTGTATATAGAAAAATATAACTTCTCGTTTATCGGGATATTATATTTGTGAAATGTGGATGTTTCACTTATGTCACTTTTATTTAAGAAATGATGTCCTTTTGTTATATGAAAAACAATAGCCTGGCTGTTTTTCCTCTTATTGGTACACCAACTTTTTTTGTATTATATTCTTTTATATTGTATTGATACTCCATGATGTTGAGTTGTCTGTTAACCTTTTTCTTTTAAAGAGCTCTTATATTATTAAGCATTTTATGTATCATTGTGAATTAAAATTTGAATATATAATAATGATGGACAGATAGTCTTTATTGATTTATCTAATCAATAAAGGCTATGGTGTCTATCCATCCAACAAAATTTCAAGTTAAAGTCTACCATGTGGATAGAATATAAATACTTAATTTATTTCAACAATAAGTAAAGGAAAACAGACCAATGGAAATGTCATAAAATCTCTTTACCTTCAATTTTTTCTTTTAAAAAAAGTAGCTTTCAAAAAAACGTTTGCATGTACATATATCTCTAACTGTATAACTGTAAGAACAACTGCTCACACTGAGGGTTCTGTTTTATCATGCTACTGCGTAAAATAATTGAGCTATATCCGTACATGTCCTTTTCTATAATGTCATAACACTGTTTGTAACAAAATTAACTATCTAAGTATAATAATCTAGTTAATTTTGCTACAAACAGTGTACATAGAAAAGGACACATGCAATAGTTTACTGTAAAAAACACAAACTCGTAAAAAACTGACTTACAGTTTCATGCTTTTTGGGTACATAATATTCTCCAATAAAATAATAATCCTTATTGAATAGTGGCTGAAATATTTAACGTTATTCCGACTATACGAAATGATCGAACTTGCTTACTTAATGATTGGACTTGCACATTTTTGTTACACACATTAACAATAACTTTGATTCTTGTATGTATTGCTGTTTTTAACTCCCGACGCAAATAAGGTGAATGTGTGTGTATCATTCTGTGAGGTCGTAGCGCCCAGGCGGATGGGCCGATTTTAATGCCGTTTTTTTTTCGAAAGGTGATTTAATCGAGAGTGTTCTTAGCAATTCCTAGCTATAAATCAAGAAAATCCGCACAACCGTTAGCAGGCTATTAGCTCTTTTCTAGACTGTAAAAGGATACGGACTTCCATAGATCTAATCGATTCGTAACCCTGGTATCCCGTATATTACTCAACTCTTACTCTCGATACTTACCTTTACTAAAATACTGCATTGATATTGTGATTAGACCCATTGAAATGGCCTAAGTGAATAGGTTATTGAGCTTGTTGTTTTTTAAATTTAATTAATGAGTTAAAGCAACACCAATAAGGAATATAAGAGACATTCTTTTCATGAAGGATATTAGTTTTTCTTTTCCTTGATCTGTCTGAAATACTCTATCATTTGTTAGATTGACTATTTTATAATGGTTCAAAAAGTATGTTTATCCTTTACAGTTTAAGAGAAGGAATAGAAATCAAAAAATCCGACTACCACTTTGACAAGAAACCCTAACTATAAGTACTAAAAACAACTTTAATTATAAATTTTTATCCATTAGGGATAAAATTTTAGAACATCCTTCCTATACTATTTATTATATTTATTATAGAGCATACCTAATGAAATCCTTTTAGAATTCCTCTCATTCTCTCATCTTTTCGTCTATCGATTTAAGTTATGAATTGTTTGACAGTCATACAACAAATATTTTATGATTATAGAGAAAATCAGATAACACTATATACTAAGAAAAATGTAGCTTCGATTACTAAATCAATCGAGTTTGACTCGATTCTGATAGGATTCGTACTCTTGATAGGTATTGACATCAGCGTACGATCGTGTAGTGGTTCAAATTGGAACACACTACGACCGAGAATAGCCGTTAGAATCGAAAACCTTACTTCCCACTCAATCGGACTGTGGATCCCACTAATACTATAAACGTGAAAGTTTGTAATGATGGATGGATGTTTATTGCTCTTTCACGCAAAAATATTTTTTTAAAGATATAGTAATACATAATTGAACTATGCTTGCGGACCCAGTAGCCACGAGAAAACTCCAGTTATTATTATTTAAAAATGTAAATAAAGGAATAAACTTTATATAAAATAATATTATTTATTTATATTAGAAATATGAACTATATCCACTAGTAGCAACTAACAAACAGTAGAATCAAGATATTTTAGAAGCACCTATGGTATTTTTTATTGTTGTTGTCTTACTATATTGATCCTTGAATGAATAGTAGATTAATACAGATTTTAATTAATCGCTAACGTAAAATATTTGATAATATACATGTCTGGGAAATACGACTTGTTAATAAGTTTATTGGGCGGAAGCTTGTACAGATGCATTAACACACAATCGCATTCCGTACATGAAGACTAGAGCTTGTCGCTAAATTTAATGCGAGCCTTATGTAACTAAATTTTATGTTTTAACCTCGTTGAATATAAAAGAAACGTTTTTAACAGGTATTTATTTTTCCTCCATAATGTTATACTAAAAATACTATAATACCAAAAAAATGAAGGTGACAAATGGCCTTTGTCTTCGAAGCTTTGATATTTTTCTTTTAATGTATTGTGCATAGTATTAAATTTTGTTATTTTAATTAATTAAAACTTTTAAAGCCGTTGGGCACGTTTCATTCATTACAAGCACGAGTAAATGATCTACACCCGTTTAAACTGCTTATACGGAAATATATATATATATATATATATATATATATATATATATATATATATATATAATCTGAATCTCGGAAACGGCTCCGACGATTTTCATGAAATTTAGTATACAGGGTTTTGGGGGCGATAAATCGATCTAGATTAGTTTTATGTCTGGGAAAACGCGTGTTTTCAATTTTTCATTTGTTTTTATTCCACGCAAATATGATCGATAAATGCGCACGCTCGGGCATAAGCATCATGGTCAAGGGCCCAAGGCGCAAGATTGGCAATCATAGGTGTCCGGGTTCGAATCCCGGTCGGATACAAAGGTATAATTTATTTTTGTTTTTTTTTGTATTCAAGTTTTTAGGTTTGTTTTCAAAGAAAATTTTACTTCTGACCAAAAACTCCGAGCGAAGCTCGGTGGCCCAGGTGCTATATACATATATTATATGTATATAAATATGTGAAAAGGACGTTAAATCTTCATTCTTTTTGGTGCCTAAATTACTTTTTACCGTGAATGAGCCTCTAGTCTCTAGAACTGTCAAATGACACTAAATGTTAACTATTAGCGAGCTTTTCGTCGCGAATCTTAACTAATTATTCATGATTATTGTAAATATTGTGCCATTCCTGATTAATTATGGCAGACACGGTACAGCTCAATAAATGTTATTGCTTTAAAAGAAAAACGAAGAAAAAGCCAATCCTTTATCTATTTGGTTATTATATGATGATGATGATGTTCTCCTAGCCGATTCCGGCCACGGCGGCCAATCTCATTGAGATTAGCTAACTACGCAGGAGATATTATAGTGCTCAAGTGTACGCGCAAACACAAGTGCACTCTCTATTCCTATCACTCTCATACTCCGGTGGGACGACCACTCGACACGACCGGTGAGAGTTAAGGCGCAAGATTATATATATATATATATATATATATATATATATATATATATATATATATATATAATAACAAA